ATTGGCAGAAAAAAGAATGTAAATAAACATGCAGATACCATACAAATGTAACACAAACCAGGGCTTCATTTGTCTCAAAACAATTGATTTGATCAGGTATAAGTAGAATTCGAAGATTGGGAGTAACATGAAGACCTTGCTATTGCATACCTTAGATTCTTAGAAGATCATAGCAGAAACATATTAGACAAATCTAGCATTGCAAATTATACTTAATTGGATATGATGTTATAAATAAAATAAATAAAAAATCTCAAATAACAATTGCAGAAGTCAATATGCTTATGAATCCCTTGCACGGTGTTAGGTGTTTAATTTCAAGCAAAATAAATTATTTGCAAGGGTGAATCACTGAAAAACAACTAAAAGAGTCTAAATATAACCAGAATATGGCTATTCTTGGTTTAAATATCTGAAATAATCTCTGGAATTCAGTTTAATCTGACACCTGTTCCTGTGCTGATAAACAACAGAATCTTCCTGGCAAAAGGTGGATCTTTGGCCTAGTTTGTAGTTTGCACATTAGGTGAATACCGAATAGAATACTTGGCCAAGTTTGCACACAAGTAAATCTCTGGCCTAGTTAACATACAATTGAATCTCTGGCCTTGATTATAAACAAGTGAATCTCTGGCCTTGTTTACTCACAAGTGAATCTCTGGCTGGCCTAATCTGCACAGAAGTTAATCTCTGGCCTAGTTTTCACACAAGTGAATCTCTGGTCTAGTTTATACAAGTAAATCCCTGGCCTAGTTTACTCACAAGTGAATCTCTGGCTGGCCTAGTTTGCACAAAGGTAAATCTCTGGAACTTCCAGAGGTACCCTTTCAAAGTAGAACAAACAACTTATTAAATAACATACTTGTGACTGAAGATGAAATTCTCCAAATTTTTAAATGTTTAGATACAAATAAAGCTGGGGGATATGATAATATTAATAATAGAATGTTGAAAATGGCATCAAGTGCTCTCTCTAAACCTCTTGCGAAAATGTTCAACAAAATTATCCATGAACATACATTTCCAACTCTCTGGAAACTGGGAAATGCAATTCATAAAATAGGTTCAAAATCAAATTTCATTAACTACAGACCCATAACTCTCTTGTGCTCCATATCAAAGGTATTCGAAAGAATAATTTTTAATGCTATTTTTAAACATGTCCAGGCTAATAATTTGCTGTACAATCTACAAAGCGGTTTCATCCCGGGGCATGGCTGCCAAGTTCAACTATTAACAATTGTAGATTACTTAACAAATTGTATTGAAAACGGTGAAGAGATTAAAGGAACATTTCTAGATATATCAGCTGCCTTTGATTCTATGCCTCACAAATATATTCTCGAGAAACTAAAAGGTTATGGAATAAACGAGAACATGATTAAATTATTAAGTTCATATCTCACCAATAGACGAGTAAAAGTAGTTATTGATGGGCAAGAGTCAAAAACTTCAGCAGAAAACTACATCAATGCAGGGGTACCACAAGGGTCAATCCTAGTGCTCTGGAACTTCCAGAGGTACCCTTTCAAAGTAGAACAAACAACTTATTAAATAACATACTTGTGACTGAAGATGAAATTCTCCAAATTTTTAAATGTTTAGATACAAATAAAGCTGGGGGATATGATAATATTAATAATAGAATGTTGAAAATGGCATCAAGTGCTCTCTCTTAACCTCTTGCGAAAATGTTCAACAAAATTATCCATGAACATACATTTCCAACTCTCTGGAAACTGGGAAATGCAATTCATAAAATAGGTTCAAAATCAAATTTCATTAACTACAGACCCATAACTCTCTTGTGCTCCATATCAAAGGTATTCGAAAGAATAATTTTTAATGCTATTTTTAAACATGTCCAGGCTAATAATTTGCTGTACAATCTACAAAGCGGTTTCATCCCGGGGCATGGCTGCCAAGTTCAACTATTAACAATTGTAGATTACTTAACAAATTGTATTGAAAACGGTGAAGAGATTAAAGGAACATTTCTAGATATATCAGCTGCCTTTGATTCTATGCCTCACAAATATATTCTCGAGAAACTAAAAGGTTATGGAATAAACGAGAACATGATTAAATTATTAAGTTCATATCTCACCAATAGACGAGTAAAAGAAGTTATTGATGGGCAAGAGTCAAAAACTTCAGCAGAAAACTACATCAATGCAGGGGTACCACAAGGGTCAATCCTAGTGCCTCTATTGTTCTTGATATATATCAAAGATATACCAGATAATTTGGAAAATAAGTGCTACCTTTTTGCCGACGATACATCTTTATACTGCCCTTATAATGAAACTAACCGTAATGACCAATTCAATTCCTTACAACATGATCTGGACACTATATGTTCTTGGTCAAGAGTGTGGAAATTGACGTTCAATGCAACTAAGAGTGCGCAGGTGACATTCCGTTCGAGTCGTTCCAAAGACCAAGTCAATGAAGTTTTTCACCTTGAAGGAAATGTTGGTTGGTTGGTTGGTTCATAATAGATGTTACCATAAACATCTCGGTTTGATACTTGATCAACACTTGAAATTTGACGAGCACATAAAGTGCCTTGTAAAAAAGATCAATAAATTGCTTAGTCCGTTGTATGCTTTGAGGTTAAAGCTACCAAGTAAACATATGCAGAATATTTTCCAATCCTTTATACTACCTCACTTCGAGTACTGTGATATTGTCTTTGGGTGTGCAAGTGCTACTTGTTTGCAACTTCTGGACTCATTATATTACAGATCTGCAGTACATGTCTCTGGGGCTATGCATGGTTCAAGCACGGCAAAGGTCTTAAATGCATTAAACTGGTTACCACTTGAAACACGAAGATATCATCACAGAATGTACCTTATGTATAAAGTATCTAACTCCCTGTCCGTCTCCTATGTTAACGACATTTTTGAGAAATATGAGCATTGTAACATCAATGTAAATTTAAGGCACATTAGAAAGTACCAACTTCCGAGGAAGAGGGGCAGCTTATTGTCACGATCGTGTGTTTTCAGATGCATAACAGAATGGAATGGTCTTAATGCCGACACTAGAAATTCTCAATCATTGACCTCCTTTAAAAGGCGTTTTAAATTGACGCATGGTAACTCATTGATTACAACCATGGATATGGAAATTAAAAGGAGTCAAGAGATACCACTAAACAGAATCAGATGTGATTTATTCCTTCGCTCCCAGTTTCATGCTCACAACTGTACTACTGTGGATTCGCCTGTTTGTTTATGTGGCGTTGAATCTGAAACGTTGAGACATTTTTTCTTCAGATGTAATCTTACAAAGCCAACCATGAAAACTTTGTTTGGTGAAGTCCAGCATAATTTCCCAGAAATTAATTTTAAAGTTATGCCCCAACTTGAAAAAATACATACCCTGCTCTATGGTTGCGACATGTTGAGCAAAGCAAAAAACATAGAATTGATAAAACTATTCGCATCTCACCTCGAAACCATTAGTAATCAAAGATAGAATACTATACGGCCTATTGAACAGCCCTTTTTTAGTCACACACATACACATGAAGTGTTTTTATTTTGTATCTTTGATCTATTTATATTATTTATATCACATGTCATTTCAATATATATAAAGACATGGCTAGTAACATGCCAGAATGGCACAGCCATTGAAATAAATTTATAAATAAAAAATAAATAAAAATCTCTGGTCTAGTTTATACAAAATGAATATATGACCTGGTTTCTACACAAGTGAATATCTGACCTATTTTGCACACAAAAAAATATCTGGCCTTGTTTAATACAAGTGAATATCTGGCCAAGTTTACAAACATCTAAATATCTGCCTAGTTTACATATAGTTGAATCTGTGGGCTAGTTCACACACTATTGAATCTCTGGCCTAGTTTACATTCAAGTGAATCCCTGGCCTAGTTTATATACAAGTGGATTTCTGGCCTAGTTTACAAACAACTAAATCTCTGGCCTTATTTACACACAACTGAGTCTCTGGCCTAGTCTACACACACATGAATCTCTGGCCTCATTAAAATCTAAGTGAATCTCTGGCATAGTTTATACACAAGTGAATCTCTGGTCTAGTTTGCACACAAGTGAATTTCTGGTTTTTGCACACATGTAAATACTTGGCCTAGTTTATAACAATGAACTTCTGGTTTAGTTTACACAGGAGTAGATCTGTGGCCTAGTTTACTTATAAGTGAATCTATGACCTAGTTTTTGAAGAATGGAAACTCTAGCTTAGTTTATACACAAGCGAATGTTTGGTCTAGTTTACACACGAGTAAATTCCTGGCCTAGTTTACTCACAAGTGAATCCATGACCTGGTTTGTGCAGAAGTGAAATTCTGGCTTGATTTATACACAAGTGTATGTCTGGTCTTAGTTTACACACACATAAATTACTGGCCTAGTTTACTCACAAGTAAATCCCTGACTTAGTTTGCACAGAAGTGAAACTCTGGTTAAATGTTCACACAAGAAAATCCCTGGCCTAGTTTAAAACAAGGAATTTCTGGTATAATTTAAACAGAAGTGAAACTCTGGCCTAGTTAAATACATAAGTAAATCCCAGGTGTAGTTAACACACAACTAAATTCCTGGCCTAGTTCATTCACAAATTAATCCCTGGCCTAGTTTACACAAAAGTGAATCTCTGGTCTAGTACACTCAAGTAAATCAGGAGGTTGTTAAAAGAAACTTGGTAAATTTAAATAAGAATTACAAGATCAATTGTTTTAACCATTAATATAATGATATAATAGTAAGAGAACAATGGACCTTAATTCTTTATGACTTTAATTCTTTTTGAATATTTCTATTGATGAGCCCCAGTTGAATTTAAAGGCACAATGGTACATGTAGTTGTAAATAGGTTCCAGACCATTAATAGAGGCCAATAATCCCAGGGGGCTGCTCATATCATTACTACTAGTTTCCAATGAAAGTTCTCCTGAATGTGTGTAGCAAAGTATGGCATGTGTCCAATACAAAATTCCCTACCTGAACATATTGGTCAGTTCCATCCTTGGCTGCCTTGAACAACACAACTGTTCCCTTCTTTCCGTGTGCAGCATCAGCCATATTCTGAATTAATCCAGCTTAATCTTGTGATCATTCACAGACACATCCCAGGATGATTGCAAAGTATCTTATTGATCTAGTGTCTTGTTTTCCACATTTTGACCTAAATAATAAATGAATATATTCAGATATGATTGTATTTATATGACGAAATGTTATGCTTATATTGCATAACACAGGCATATGCTTTCTGCAGTTTGAACATGGGCTCATAATTTAAGAATGCAGTGAGTATATTTGCATATCTGCTGCTACCATTCACGCTGTAAGTTGCTATTTACTGTAGAATTTCATTTCTACATCGATACTGCGCATGCCTCTCGCAATGTGATTGGTCAGAAGGCAGAGTGCGGATCATTTTGCAGTGCTTATATTTGCAGTATTATCTTGCCATAATAGCAAGATTGGGGTATAAAATATGTTTTTCTAGATCCTTTAGGGTGTTATCAAGGCCTGCATGACTGCCAAATCTCAAAAATCATAATAAAGATATATATATCATTTGAAAAACATATTTTTGACGAAAAAGATTCCGCACTTGTATGAAATTCTGTTCACTTTGCTTTACTTGGTGTATTTGACTCAATCTTTTTTAATAAACAGTACACATGTTCCTGGGTCTAAAGGTAAATAGGCCTTGAGTTTTAAGAGGACATAGGGGTAATCTCAGACATGGGGCATTGTACCAAAAAAGGTACATCAAAAAAATGACCACCCAAAAATATGACCCTCATACTGACTTTTATTTTTTCGATCTGTCAGACAGAGATTGATCAATATTTACCCTGTAATCTCTTCTTTATGTATTAGTTTGAATGGTTGCATGATATCCATTATTGACGCTGTAATTTGAATTTTCCCGAGACATATATTTCAAATTTTCAGAGCGTAAAGATAATGGAGTGCTTCGGTTATTTCCGGCAGTGTCCGATGTTGTTCGTCTCTCAAATTACGTCACATCGCAACAAACAGCCAATGAAAGTAAAGGATCCCGTAGCCTAACAAACCGTTGTTATTGTTTCTGCAGGAGTTTAAAGGGGCAATAAAGGGGCTTGTAGAGAGAAAATAGGAAAATTTTAACTTTTTCTGAGCTATCAAGTCAACAGTTGGATTAACATCTTCTTCGACATACTTATTTTCTTAAAATGTATGGATAAACTATCAATTTCGGCATTAAAATGTGTAAAATCAGTTCAAAGCTTCTAAAAGGGGACGTCCACTTTTATATTTTTAAGATCCACCATGTTTTAAGAGGAATATAAGCTGAAATAATGATTATCTAGGGGGTTTCTTTGGAGAAAATAAAAATAGATGTTAGTCTTGGTGAAATATCCAAACTTAAATATATTTTGACACTGGTCCATGATCGTTGAATGGCCCCTCTGCACTACTTGTTGCACCTTTAAAGAAATGTCATGGGACTTCTCGGTTATCTCTGAGACGTCATCCGGAGTGGCGTCACATTCTCAGAAAAGGCATTTGACTTCGGGAATAAACATTTGAACGAAAGGAAATAGCCGAAGCGCTGCACTCCATTAAATATACGCTCCCTCATTTCTTGGATGCATCCTAGACACAGAGGAGGTAATCTGGCAGAGGTCCTACAAATCTCTATGTATGAACTCATTGAGTAAAATCGGTTAGACTGGCACACACACTGAGAATCTGTAAATGCAACATAATGATTATATGCACGATTGTATACAGGGGATATCTACCGTCCACAGTGCACAATAAGCACCGTTTATTCTATAGAAATTAAAGGGAAAAGAAGATTACCTCAGCAGAACTTCGGCAAAACTGCCCTAATTCACGTCACCATACTAGTCAATGGGCAAAAGGGCAAACACCTGACTTTTTATCTCGAGTTATAGATTTATGTGGCCTCACTGGCCTATCTGAGGTTCTAAAGCTATGTCTAAGCTACATCTTGACACTAAACTCAATAGGGGCCAATCATCTACTTTTTGAAATAATTGGTCAATTGTGACACTACCCCCTCTCTCTGCAGACACAAATTGAAATTCACAAAAATGAAGGCAAAATTAATACGCCACTTGACTCGAAATTTTCCTTCAGATAACCCAAATAAACGCATTTTCAGAAGAAATGGCATGTTGCCATTGCAAAAAGATTACAACTGTGCCTACATACTAGCTTACTGACTAGTCATGATCACAATTGTGTTGGGACTACATTTATTTTTGAATACTACTTTTTTCTATTCAGCGGAAGTGACGTATTAGGGCATTTTGGCCTAATAGCCACATGGTTGGATGATTTCTGGCTTTAAATTGCGTTTTTCCAATTTACTAGAGTTTTTCAAGTAGTTTTGTGCAGTTTAAGAATATTCTGACAGTAATTATGAAAAATATGGCTACTTCATTACCCCTGGGGTCATTTTCCCAAGAATCCAATGGTTTTCCTTTAAATTTGACTAGTTTTTCATTTACATCATGAAATCCACTGCCTGATGGTGACATTTTTCAGTATCGTGTCAAGAAATTGAGTATTTTATTGCATATTGCGATTTTTAGCCAAAATCACTGAACCGTGAACCAGAAAATTGGACAAATTTGGCCCACTTTTTGGCAAAATCTTACTAAAATCATCACTTTTTCATACTTTATTCCATTCAACAACCTCCTGATTTGAAAAATGATGACAAATTTGATCAGTTTTGACTCTGGCCTAGAGAATTGGGACTTTTGAGATATTTTTTAGCTCGAATGTAGTCATTCAGAGTGAACAAATACATCAAAAATTGACACTTAACTCACCAATTTCTGACTGCACCCCCGATATGTACCTTCTTTCTATACTGGAAACCATAAGATGGATAATTCAATCTTTATGATGAATAGCAACTCGTTGGCTTCCCCATTTACGACAACAAATGACATTTAGGGGTCACTAAGGACAAAATTGTAGCCAAATATCGTCAAAATCAGTGGTTTTTGGGGTAAAAAGCGAAAACTGCTGATTCAGCAAAAACATTAAATTTGTTCATGAAAATTCCCCTTTTTGCCTCCGTCCAAAATATGTTTCACACTAATAAACTTCAATTCTGGGCGATTCTGAGTAGTTTTAAAATTTTTTGGTCACTTTCACATGTGACTAATAGGCAAAACTGCCCTAATTCACGTCACCATACTAGTCAATGGGCAAAAGGGCAAACACCTGACTTTTTATCTCGAGTTATAGATTTATGTGGCCTCACTGGCCTATCTGAGGTTCTAAAGCTATGTCTAAGCTACATCTTGACACTAAACTCAATAGGGGCCAATCATCTACTTTTTGAAATAATTGGTCAATTGTGACACTACCCCCTCTCTCTGCAGACACAAATTGAAATTCACAAAAATGAAGGCAAAATTAATACGCCACTTGACTCGAAATTTTCCTTCAGATAACCCAAATAAACGCATTTTCAGAAGAAATGGCATGTTGCCATTGCAAAAAGATTACAACTGTGCCTACATACTAGCTTACTGACTAGTCATGATCACAATTGTGTTGGGACTACATTTATTTTTGAATACTACTTTTTTCTATTCAGCGGAAGTGACGTATTAGGGCATTTTGGCCTTCGTTTGAAGTAGGCTAGATATTTTGTAGGTCATGGCAAGCTACGTAGAGTCTAATAATAACAAATCACAAATTGTTTGAACTGTATGCAAGGTAATGATTTTTTGTACAATAATATCCTATCGAATTAAGAATCGAATTAATGATGTCAAATATGGTCAAATTGAGATCAGAGTCTGAATGTTCCAAAACAATGTGATTGAAGATAACACTGTAACATTTGGTCATGATTTGTTTCAATATGGCGGCTGACGTCAGAAAATATTTTCTCCACATTTTCTCAATTATTTCAATTATTATGCAATATCAAGGTATTTGGGTTTAATATATAGTTACTTAAATTGATTGTTTACATGTATAATATGATTACTTGTGTTTAAAGACTTCCGATCGCTGTGATTGTTTGCCAGAAAATTGAAATAAAAATTCCAATTTTTTCAAAATTGAAGTGGGTGATAATAGAGTTACAGCAAGTTATAAGTTCTGGAGTCGATATTTCTCACTTCAAAATTTTTGGTCTCACTACCTTATAAAAAATCCAAGACACACAAGAAGTGATCAAGATCATAATTGGCTAACTCTGCCCTGTCAACCCTAACACTGCACATTCAGCGCAGCGTGATTGTCACACATTTGCTGGAAAAATTGAAATCATGCATTAATTTTGTGTGTTTGATAAAATGTCAGACAAATCAAGGATTATGTTGATATTTTAAAAATCTGCTTGTTATAATATGCCGATACAGAAAAATGATCGCCAAAAAAGAGAACGCATTCTGTTGAGACTGTCATGCATTTGGTCAGAGGGGGAGAAACACTAGACTATATCCTATTTAGTCTGAATTATATTCAGACTATAATGCACCTATGTTAAAGTTTGGTAATTCTTAATATTTGTTTACATAGGAAGTGCTATTCAAAATGGCCGATTTGGTAAAATTAATTTGCACATTTTTACTTCAACTAGCCTTATTTCCACTTGACAATAGGCTGTGCTACTTTTTATTGCATTTAATTGTACCTTACTACTTAATTGAGATTTTGTAAAGCTTATTTTATTGAAGAAATGGTTCCTCTAATTGATAATTTTGTGCAAAAAATGTCACTGCAATTTCCACAGGAAAGTAGTATATCATAACAGACTGACTTCTAGTCAGTCTGTTGGATACATACTAGGAGAAACACCAGGATTCAAAGATGACATACGCTTATAATGTAAATCTGTATTGAGATGACATCGTTGCTGATTGGTCAAAAGTCAACAAACAAATGACGTCATCAATGGGGGTTTCAGAATTTTCGAAATAAGCTTTGAATAATATTATGTTCATTTCTGGCATGTTAACCAATATCATAGCTTCTTATTTTACATCAAGATAAAGAAAGGTGTACGGAATATGCCTATATCAATTAAAACATCCCATTGAAGTGTAGTATTTGACAACTAGCCGATGAAAATTCGAACGAACGAAGGTGGTAAGCAAGAGACGTCTGTCATCTTTAAACTCTGGGGCCTTCCCTCCTCTTCATTTGGTTAAAAAATTCTTCATATGTCAGACTCAGGTATTTGCTTCGAAAATTCTTTCAGACAATAATGATGCCAGCTTTTTTTGGAAAAAATCGTTCATTCTCCCTTCAGCTGTAGAAATACATGTGTATAGGCACTATCAGCAATATTGCATCATCACTTGGAGATTAAAGAATATCAATTTGGAACTCTGGCTTCCAATACAATATATTTTGGTATAGGGGATTCCCATTAGCTCTCCCTACTTGGTCTTATATAGATTTATCACATGACAATGACATTCAAAATGGCGGATTATAGTAAGTTGGATTCCAATATGGTCCTACATGTATAAGCCTTATATGGATCTATCATATGGATACTGCATGACCCAATACTAACACTTAACTTTGGGAGATCCCCCGTCTGACTTTAAATTCATAATCAGCAATCCAAAAGATTTGAACCATTATCTTTATCACTTCTTGTGTGTTTTGAAATTTTTTGTTTGGAAATAAGACGGTTAGACCAAAACTCGCAATTCAAATTCTGAAATGAAAAAATGGTGGCTGTTTGATTATGACTCCGCATATGGCAGAATATCAAATTGAAACCCTGGGAGCCAATCCTCCTTGATTTCCACCCAAATCATAATTCAGAATTATGAGAAATTTGAACATACATAGATGCAACTAGATGAAAGCAGGATTAATATATATATCAGCTTTGCATATCAGGGGTATAGCCAGCAATGGTCAAGGGGGTGCGATGTTTGGGGTTTGCATCCCCCTTGGCTACGCCCATGTATATGATTATTATGAGCATAATATATGCTCAATCAGCATCATCTAACCTATACCTATAAAGACTAAGGTCTTGTAAATCTTCATTTTCTAATTTTCTTTGGTGTATGGGAATTCTACTATTAACTAAGCTTGTATTTGCGAATGCAAATAGCGGCTAAAAGTCACGTGGTCACTGTTAGTCGACAAACAGATTGATTGTAAATTACAGCTTCAAACTTAATTTATGTAAATTAGTGTAAATAATAGCTTAATCGGGTAGCAGATAGCCTTAGTTGCATTCACGAATACAAGCTAATTATTTCTTGATTATTTTTAGTTACAGAGGTGTATAAGACACCCATCATATCTTAAGTGAGATTATATGGTTGCTATGGTTGTGATTATATGACTGTTCCACTTTAAATGTTTTTATAATTTCATATCATATTTTGTATACTTTTTATATTTACTTATTTTTATTTTCAGTTATCCCCTCATACAGTAGTGATCTAGTTGACAGAGAAATAGTGGTTAAACCTTTATTTCACTCAGATAATTTATTCTTCCAAGTGCTTGAGCCAGAAAGCATACGCTACACATACAAGATAAGACAGGCCAAAAACTTTGGAGGCTTATTGGTAGGTTCCTTAGATGCTATGATTTATGATTTTATTATTAAAAAATTCAAGTAAAAGGGAATCAACCTTTTCAATTTATTTTGTTAAATGGGGGGGTTTTTAGACTGCTATCAACATTTTGAAATCATTTTTCAATAGCAGGTAAAATCATATTTGTTAGTTTTTGCAATATTGTAAATTTTGGCGCATATGACTGCAACAGTCATTGTTCATACTTACAGAACCAGAGCTATGCTTCAATAGACCTTGTTCCTACAGTACCAGCTGATGGCTGCAGCCCTATATCAAACCAGCATCTGATTGAAGGGAATGTGGCCTTAGTAGAGAGAGGGTAAGATTAAAGAAGGATTGATTAAATGATTGGGTATTTCAATTATTTTGACCATTCATCTTCCCTGTTTTTACCAGCTTATTGAATGGTCATATCCATTTCATAGGAATCCATGCTCTAATAATTTACACCACTAATGTTGACTTCTACTTTTGTCTTTTGTTGGAGAAATCATCTTTTTGTTGGATAAATAACTTTTGACATTGAGGTTATTATTGTTCCAACTTGGGGGTGAGTATGTAATGCATAGGAAAATGGAAGACAAACTTGATCTGTGAAAAAATAATGAATTTCATTGTAATTACGAACATTATATGCATCTTCCACTAGTTCAGAGGCATTACTATTACTGTAAATTAAATTAATTTGGCGCTTTTTATTTGTTTTATCTAAGCCAGCGGGTACTCAGCGGGTATATCTTTGGAAATAGTTTAAAATTGACATTTATCCAAGTTTCAGTCAAGATTTTCACCATAATTTCATCGTGCAAGGTAACACATGGAAAAGGCACTTGACAAAAATCGCAAGGAATTTCATTTTTAAAAATTTGGTGGAGTCTTAGTTTGGTGGTTTTTTATCTGCCAAATCTGTCAAATGAGAACTACCATCAAATAAAACCAATTTACAGTATTACATGTTCATGTTACAGTGGCTGTTCCTTCTTGAGTAAGACCATACAAGCAGAGAATGCAGGTGCCATAATCATAGTTATCACAGATGAGGACCCAGACAATGATTCTATGATGATAGAGATGATAGAAGATGGCACAAATAGATCTCCAAAAATACCCGCCGTTTATTTACTAGGAAGAGATGGGTTAGTGTACAAATAGTTCAACTATAATCTCTACTGCCAGGGAAGGTAAAAAGTGCAATTAACTGGTTGACATAACTGGTCATAAGTACTTTTCATCTTCCTTGCTGGCAGGGATTTAGAATTGTTCAGGGAATAAGTTCATTTATTTCATATGATGTGACCATAAATAAGCCAATGATCATCCAGAATACATATTGAGTATAAAGTCATTTTTGTTCACCTCCACTTTTCTTGGATGCCATGTGTACTGCATAACTTTGAGTTATTTTTATTTAAAGATTTGTTGTTACATTTGTTTTGAGAAAATTGTAAAATTAGGTAATTTTTCATGAACATGCGGTGCTTGTTGGTGTTTGTTGGGGAGTGGGTGCTAAATATGGTGATAATGGTAACAAAAGGTTCAAATAGTGGGGAAATTGCATGCATGAAATAACAATTTAACAAAATTTATTTCAGGTACATGATAAAGAAAACCTTACAGGAGCTAGATCTGACAAGTGCAATTATAAACATACCTGTGAACATTACTGGAATTCCTATACATTTGCTCAATCAGCCACCATGGGAACCATGGTAACCAACTAGAGGTTACCATAACAACAACCATTGTCGAGCACCTCAGAAATCCACAAGAACAGGAAACCTGCCATGAGATAACACATTTTTTGAAACAGCAGATGTATTACAATAAATGCAAGGTGTTCAATAAGTATTGAGAAAATGCCAAATATATCATTTTTTGTTCATTTTTGTTTTATATTTCTGACTCATGTTCAGGATATTGAGTAATGTCCTGATGTAGTATAAAAGTTTCAGAAATCTAGAATTTAATGTCATAAGAATTTCACAATCCCACTCTCACAGATACACTTGCTGATTGTATATACTGTTTAACACTCCTTACCCTTTCATTTATAGATCTCACGATTTGAATCAAAAGCTATAAACATTTTTATATCCTTGGGTTGCATTTTTGTGGCACCCTGTCAGCTGTCATCTTCTGCAGTTTTAAAAAATAGTATTAGCAAATGCACCATAAAATAGGAAAACCAGTAAAGAAACTACAAGAATGAAATTCAAGTATTTGCATTGTTAAAGGACGTTGAAGTTGACATGACTGCTAAACTTGAAAAAATCTGTAAAAATACCATCATTGTAGTGTATTATAACCCACATACTCCTGTACCATGTGTACAGCTGTAAGGCCATATTAGCAAAAAATTACTACTATATCAAATGGTAAATAAAACAACAAGATGCTAGTATATTTCTTCAGGGAGTCATCTATGTCCAAATAAGGACAGTGAGGAGATTCTTGTTGATAAATAGAAGTAATCTTAGAAACATGTTTTACCAAACAGAATGCTCCGGGGCCACATCGTATGTACATGATTCTTAACTCAGTGTAGGCTTCAATCTAACTGTAAATGAATGTTAGATCTTCATATCATGTTCTGTTCCTTATTTTAAGTACATGTCATCATGTATTAAATATGTCAAATGTTGACAATAAAGTTTGTGAAAAATAAATTTTAAAATGTTATGAGTAATTGAGACATTTTTGTGGATTGTAAATCTTAGCCTTGCCCAAGTTGGTATTTTTTACTTATCTGATCTTGAATTATTACCGCGGTCATAATAGAAATCAAAATAAGAAAAAGAGACTGACTTGGGCAAGGCTATGTAAATCGCTAAGAGCTATGATAAGCATGCCTCAGATCACTACTATCTACTGTTATGTACAAGTTATAGCATTTGACTAATGTTGCGATATATTTTAATAATTATTGATATTAAATTAATTCAAAAATTATTTCAAAGAGCTGTCCAGAGAACTGTAAATTGTAACAAGGGATTTTATCGTGATCTGCTCTACTTTTTCAATGCATTATGAAGAGCCTGCATAGATGTCATTCATCAAGGAAATACATGTAGGGTTGACAATAGTGACTCAGGATGGGATGCTTGCCTGAATCTCTCCAGTTACCCCAAAATTCAATATTGGAACTTTGAACATAAGGTAGTGCAGGACACATCAATTCAATATGTTCCCCATCATCAATTAGTACCTTTCCCCAATTCAATCATAACTAAGCTGATTCTGTCCAAAAATAAATTTCAATAAATTTTGGGATATTTTATAATTTATAGTCATTATATGTAAAAAAAAGATGCATGTAAGCTATATAATTATATATTAAATTAATAATGTTCCTCTCTCTGAGTAAATTGTTACATTCCAAAAATGTTGTAGAACATCCATTCCATCATACCAATAATTGGCACATTCAGAATTGAATATGCTTTAATATATACCTGTAGAAAATGGGAGCACTTTAGCCATCATTAGCGGTTGCATTGGGTGCAAGACCTCTCACTATTCCCTTAAATAATTTGACTGAAATTCCCATAGAACCTTGTCATTCACATGGCTTAGGCCACTCTAAGGCCACCCAATTCACCCCTCATTCAAAATGCTTAGAATTGTTTGTATGATTGGTTTTCTGTAGTGCAGAGTTTGATTTTATTTGAAGTATCAGAGATGTTTGGTAGGTAATTCCTGAGGTCGTATTTCAAAAATAAATATTGATTTTTCTATGATAAAAACCTGTCATATAATAATATAACAGTGGAATTCATTATTTCAAAACCATACATGTATCAATGATGCTATGGACCAGTTTATGCCAAGATTGAGGACTATAGTTGACAAAAATGGGGGACGTATTGAACATCTGTTTAAGTGAATAAGGTTGACAAAAAAATCTGTTTTGCGAGTTTTGAACTTATGATACACCAAATTAAAGAAATTAAATTCCCTTTCCACTGGTATGACATGTTTTCATAAATAAAATCAATATTTTATTTTTGAGTGTCCCATTTTTTGGACCACCCTGTACATTAGAAGATGAATCCTTAGGAGAATCTGAATAGTGGAGAGTGGAGACCCAGGACCCACCACACCAATGGTCTAGTTGACTGCTTCACTGACCAATAAATCACATTGCACTGTGAGATGAGATTGAGAAAACATCCAAATCCCATCTACTCCATATAAGGAAATATCCGCTGGATTCGCAAGCCATAAACGCAACTGCGCATGCGCACCATGCTTCAGAGAGAAAAACAAAAATGGCAGAAAATCAGGCGAGTTTGTTTTCTTTATTTTTGTGACATTTCATACTGAATTACTCAGTCATCGCAAGTGTTTCATTGATATATGGTACATATGCTCACATATAATAATCTGCACTTGTCAGCTTATAGAATTATTGATATTTCAGCTTAGAATTTGCGATCAAAGCTAGCAATCTTTTTTACATTTTTGAATTTTTTCAGTTTTTACATTTTTAGTGGGAGTTGGCCTTTGTTGATTAACTTGATTCAGCTATATTTCTGCATATTGCAATACATGTCAAATCGGTAAACTAGTTATTTCTCAAGTCCTTGTATTGAGATGATGAGGTCACTCTAGTGTCTTGCTTTTTGAAATGTCAGTTTTGAATCCATCAAAGCTAAACTTTTCTAGTGCAAGCACTGAACATGTTCCAAGTGTAATCCGTGTTTTTCCTTTAAAATGAAACAGCCCTTCTTTCAAGAGAAAAAAGAATTGAAAACCCATCATAGCGAAGTGGAATCTTGGTTGTTCTGTAATCCAGGGAGTAATCTCCCTACTACTTTTTTCAAGGCTAACATTTCATTAAGATTCGGGTTCTAACCTTTAGAAGGTAAGTCAGACTCCCAAACGTCAGCTAACTCTTATATTTAGCATGTTAGCGACGCAGTCAGGCCTTGAAAAAAGTAGTACATGTAAATGTGACATTGATGTTTCAAATTGAAAAATCAACTCCATATTTATGGAGGTAGTTAACAGCGATTGCGTCCCTTCTTCAATATATTTTTTCTGTCTTGAGTATTAAGCAATTTGAAGTTACAAAGTACTTCTATCTGTACTGAAAGATAGAGGCAGTTTACATTGAGACCAAAATGAGTTTTGACCAAACATTTGGTTTTCTTAAACGTAAAGGCTAGAGTACCGACAATTGTCGGTACTCTAGACTCTGATGTGGTGGCACGCTAGAGGACCGACAAATAAATTGTCGGTACGGGAGATATGCTGTGTTTACACGCTAGAGGACCAACAAATATTGATTTTCGAATTTTCTGGCGCATGCGCAATGCGCGGGGGGATATTTCAGATATCATACGGATATTTTGGGAACAAGTGCAAAACCAGGGGAGGGCATTAGCCCCGGTTACCCGGGGATTACCAAACCCAGTCAAAAAATGGTAGCCCGGGAACAGGGAATGGTAATCTAGTAAATGTTGAAAACCCAATAAAAAACATGAACAAGTAAGACGTTAGAGAGCTATTAATGCAGATTAAACGGCTATATATATTCTAAACAGACAGGATATTTCTCCTGAGCCGATCAGGTGTAGAAAGGGGCGTTTGCTACCCATTAGATAGAAGAAAATAGCTAGAATGTTTTTTATTTGAAGCTTATCGTATGGTATGAGGTTCCATATCCATCCCCCAAAAGGTATGACCCCTATATAGTCCATTTAAAAACCTGTGGTATCGTAAATAACCCATAGTTGGCTTCTAGGGTACCTAGTATGCCACTATTTCGTTTCAAAATAAAGAGGAGTTCAACTTTCATTTGAATTACGAAAATAGCGATGTAGGTCAAAATAGTTCCGAACGTGAGCATGTTTACTACACGTTTGCCCGTCATATCAGAATTGAGGAAGTGGTAGCAAACGCGAGTTACAATAAACGGACGCTGATTTCTCAAAAACTAACCTGACTCCCTATAATTTGATGTAGGTCAATCGAACCCCTATATGGACAGGTGCATTTTGATGTATAACACTATCATGGGGTGAGCGTTTCATAGTTGGTCACGAACGCCATATGTGCAAAGTATTGTTATGAATTTTCGAATTTGGTGTTGGATTACGGTACTCATACCTTATAGCACAATTTTTGATGAAAGTTGCATTTGGCCCCCTTAGTTAATGGCCACGATTCCATCTCGCATATATATATATCGACCCATTAGATAGAACAAGAAAAGAGCTTTAAAATGTTTTTTTATAATTGAAGCTTGTAGGACAATTTTGATGGAAGTTGAATCAATTTTTGTCGAAATAAATTATGGCTCACTACAAGTTAATGCCTGTACGATTCCATACTGCAAAAGAAGCACTATGCCCCCCCCTCAAAAGAAAAAAGTAGGTCCGGGATTCGAACTCGGGACCGAGTGTGTTCGGGAGTCGTGCTCGCTAACCACTAGACTACCAGTGATGAGGTTTTCTCCAAAAGTAAAAGTAGTGCATTTATTTATGAAATTGTCGGCTCTCTAGCAAAAACACGTAGCAGCCACTTGCGTACCGACAATTGTCGGTTCTCTATCTGGCACTACTAGGTGACGATAGAGTGCCGACAATTGTCGGTACCCAAGCAAATACCCCTGGACAGTCTCCAGTACCGACAATTGTCGGTCCTGGAGCCACTCCGTTTCTTAAAATGAATCCGTGATAAATTTGAAGGATTAAATTCATTTCATGAAATGCATATTAGATGAAACAAGGTAATCATGTTTATTGATATATTGTAGGAGCTTCAGCAGTTAGAGCTTCTGTGTAAGCAACTGTACGAGACTGTGGACAAAGACTTGCGATCAGAGGCAGAAAAGGCACTTGTCAACTTCTCTAATTCTCCTGACTGTCTCAACAAATGTCAACTACTTTTGGAGCGAGGCAATGTGAGTCAATAAGATTGGTCCAAGTAGCATGCTAGCTTCATTTAAACCACTCAATTTTGGTTACATTCTAATAAAGTATCATATTCATTTGCATTATAGCACCTTTCATTTATGCTCTGGCCACAAATAGTCACAAAATGAATGAATTTTATATTATAAAATCACAAGCATCATACTGCCTTTCAGATCTGTACTAGATGTCAAATTAGACATGGCAGGCCTAATGCCAATATTTCAAGCTGATTAAAGTGTGCTTTTATTTTATGCAAATGAAACATCAAGAATTATCTTCATATTTGCATTGTTTCTTTCATGAAATACATAGCATGATGTTTTAAAAAATAAGAACATATTACTTTATGATTATATCTGTATGTTTCAGTCACCTTATGCACAGTTACTTGCTGCAACCACTCTGACTAAACTGATCTCCAGACCCAATATTGTCCTTCCCTTGGACCAGAGGCTTGATATACGTTAGTATATACTTAACCATTCATTGATATATTTTTATACATGCATATTTAATAATTCAAAATTTGCGTGCCACTCTGCGAACAACTCTGGTAAAAAATATTGAGAAATTTTGATCAAAATGTAAAATTAAGATTTTTTTGTAATATTGTCATATATATATAGCCCCAAGCTATGCACATGCACTGTTGTCCTCTAGCTTTCATTATTCCTCATTTCAGGGAATTATGTTTTGAATTACCTTGCTACGAGACCCAAGTTGGCCAACTTTGTTACACAAGCATTAGTACAGGTAGGTAGCAGTTTATATTCTAAGAGGATGACTTGACTTACCTGTAATACAAAATGTCCACAACTAAGAACTAGAAATTTTTTGAATTAGCCCATATTGATTTGTATTCACATATTTTTGGGCATTTGCTATTCCACAGAGTTGCCCTTTTTTAAGTAAGAATCCTCAATGTGTTGCTGCAAAGAATATTAATGTGTTAAACAAAAGATGACAAAACTTTTAATAATAGTGAAAAGTGTCCCATCAATATTCTGTAGGTTCTATCATTGTATATACATCCATGCTAAAGGGTTTATGTTTGTTACAGTTATTTGGACGCCTGGTAAAGCTTGGCTGGTTTGATGTCAGTAAAGATGAATATGTCTTTAGGAATGTAACTACAGATGTAGGCAAGTTTTTGCAGGTACGTATCAATCCAATTTATGATAAATGTAACTATATGTACACTCAAAATGTTCTAGCATTTCAACTGTTTTGATAGATAATTGCAGTCTAGTTCCTGTTGATATCTGATATTCTCTCCAATTAATTACTCACTGGTTAAAAAGAAAAGCCAAGAAATACGGGAACATTTTGATTTAAGATATGCAATATCAGGCGTAACTTGAAGGGATTGAATATGGGATAACATACAAACAATCAGTATGATCAGGTGTAAAAGCCTTATTTGAAATAAGTTTCAAAATAATGAGGATTACTTGGTAAATATGATTTTGGATAACAAGATGACCGGTGACTGTGATTTTTTTAATATGAATTTATCCGTATAAATTATATGCCATTATTCATCAGGAGGTAAAAATTAATATGGAATGGATAAAATAAGGTAGATGTAGATTATTACATAAAAATTTGGGTTATACAGGGGTTTCACTAGAATTTCTCACAACAGGCTAAATAAATGAAAACAACGGGCAAAATTAATGGAAATCATAAATTTAACATGGAAAAGTTGAAAAGTCCTGGAAAACAACAAGCGATTCTGTGAAAACAACCAGTGAAAATTGCATGTTGCCTGCTGCTAATGAAACTCCTTGTAACATACAAAATGCAAAAATGATTTTCACCTAGGTTATGCTCAGAAATTTTAAAGTGCTTGCTCCATATAGAACGTGATGAGTAAGCTATTTTTTGTTGAATATTTCAGAGTGGATCTACCCAACATGTAATGGTAGGAGTGCAGCTTCTTTCACAGTTAGTGTGTGAAGTGAATCAGGTCAGTGAGGTATGCACAGGTTTCCTCATCCTTTTTCTACTCTACATCTCACAGGGGCCAAGTCTATCACTTTTACATTTAAGGGGATCAAAATTAGGCGCCAGGCCCTTACATACGTTAACCTCAGTTCTTCCTATATTTTTCAAATTTTTGGGTTTAATTTAATGTGGTCTTGTTGGTTGACATTCATTTGAAATATCAAAAGTAATAGAACACATGTTTTACAGTTGCCTTGTTTAATAAAAGCTTAAACTGAAAGGGGGTTCTATCTCTATATATGACTCCTTCCCCTAATGCGTGTTCTACGCTTCAAGCTATTTTTGAAATTATTATCATTTCCTCTTTTGATTCAAGACGCTTAGTATGGGCTTGGATACAGTGGTGCTTGGGACCTGTGAGCTATCTTATCTCTTTCTCTATTAGATGTATCTACTGCCAATTTTTTATAATTTTGTGTTTATTTGAGGGTTTTCAATAAATGGTGAATGGTGTTTTCTAATTTAAGCTTCCACGTAAAGCCTATGAAATCTCTCACTTATTAGTCTTTGAATCCATTAAGAGTTTTACGTATAAAACTACACATAGTATATTCTGCAAGTAATGTATGATTCCTTGTTACCATATACTTGATATATGAACCCATTGTGTGGTGCCATTATTCATGTTTATTGTTTTCAAATTAATAATCAACAATTCATGGGCATTCTCTATTTTTTATTTCTGTCTTAGTTAGAAAGGCTGTCTTATCCCTAAGCCAACTTTCAATGAGGAAACTTGTTTTACTTTTTATTTTATTTATGTAATGTATTTGTTTGTGTTATTTAGGGATACAAGGTGAGTCTAGATTCTGTTTATTTGTGAAAGATTTACCATTACTAAAACAAACTGAATTTACAAGTAGTCATGTGTTTTAAGAGAACACTTGTTGATCAACTGTTTCTTCAATATACTGACACTAGTTGGTGTTGGACTCATGCGGTGACTGGTGTGTTTAATGGGGGTGGATACCAAGTAGTCATTTTTATGCAAATATAATTTTGTGTTAAATGTCCATCAATTCACCTTATTCACTCATATAAGTTTCAATCAAGAGGAGAAATAGGGTGTAATCCTGCATTAATAAAACACTTGTGCAAAGATGTAAACCTAACAAAATTATTAAATAAGCATGTCTGGTTGGTAAAATAGTAACAAGCAAAAGCAAAATAAAGCATGGTACCATAAATCATATAGAATGTTCATATTCTGATTTCCTTGGGCTTGCATCACATTAAGCAAGCAAATCAAATGTATGCATTAAAACAGTTTAAAGCTTGGTTTGTGAGTTCTGTATGTGCGTTCACTTGTTACTTATTGTCTCGAGCTAAGTGGAAGTTGATATGCCACCGTTTTTCCTGCATTTTGTGTGATTATATCAACTCGTGTAAATCTTAAACCAACAAAGGTCAACAAAGACAATCTACTGAACTTACAAAAATAATCTCCTAAGTGCCATACTTCTACATATAAACTATAGAATTTAGCGATATCTTTGGTATAATAGGCTCAAATATCAGTACAGTATAAATGATAACAAATACTAAGAAAGATAGAATGACATGGATCCCTATGAAAAAGAATTATTATAATAGCAACTGCTCCATGCATGATTAATAAAAGAATAAGCAAAACATGGTCATTGATTTAAAGAAACACTGTCTATTATTTGATCATAAAAACACATAAGCATTATGTGTGAGTTGTTAGTTTTGCTCAAAAATACAAAAAAGCGTATTTTAATGAATTGGATTTTAGTTTCAGCGAATAAAAATAATTTGTAATTGATTTTCATTAATAGGCAGAGGTGAGCAGATCTTTAACTAAACACCGCAAGATTGCTTCAAGTTTTCGTGACAGTCAATTATATGAGATCTTCCAATTAGGCTGCACCCTCCTCAAACAGGCCGCTGAGAATATAAAGAATCTAGACTTTAATAATGAATCACAGGTAATTAGTATTTTCTTCTATGTTGAATAAAAAAACTTGACTTTATCAATGCATAATAATTACTGAGAAGATTAAATTTGCCAATATACAGGTGTTAACCTTATGATATTTTTGCCAGTTCAGAATGGGTAACATTTTTTGTCCCAACTTGTATTTCAAAGGGGAGATTTGCAGGTTGTGTTTATTAAATGCAGTAGTTCATGACAACATAGATTATTCAACCATTCATTAGAAATGTTTGTTTTTAGCATGGTTTACTGAACCATACATTACAAATGGCCCAGAACTGTCTGACATTTGACTTCATTGGTACATCTACAGATGAATCATCTGATGATCTCTGTACAGTACAGATACCTACAAATTGGAGGGGAGGTAGGCTCATTATCATAGTAAATCTGTTAGGAAGTATAGGCTGGCTGTGGCATATGATTTTCACACATTGATGGTCGATGGTATCCTAGAAACAAAACCTGGACATTCTGTGACTTCAATTTTGAATATTTCATTAAGCTGTAACATGTGGCAACCTTTTTTCTTGAACTCCAGCCATATATGTGTGCTGTTGAGTGACCTAGATTTAATGTTTTGTGAGGTGGCCTGGACAAATGAATAGACAAACTAAAGTGTTCATGGTTTATGAAAATGTGACTGAGGTAAAATGTTCTTGTTGATATATTTCAGCATTCCTTGATGGCAGCACAGTAGAACTTTTCTTTGATCTCTATTCTCATCTGCCTCCATCCTTGTCTTCTATGGTAAGTTAACCATCCTCTGCAATACATAATATAAAATACATCCAAAATAGATTCGAGTGTTAAAGACAATCCTTATTCATTTGCACGACATGCACTCAGTGTGTGCAATGTAACATTTGATTTGTGTGGGAATTCATATTTATTCTGAGACTGGTTCACCGACTCTTTAGTAATTTTGTTTCCAAGTTGTTTCCCTAAGAAATTTTCTTATCATCAATTTTATTTTCAGCCTATTTAATATATTGTACATAATACAAATAGAATTAGAGATTTTGATATGACATGAGAAAAGACACACATCTTTGAAAAAGTTACTCTTCATCTCAGCTTTAACAATATGTCAGTTATATTATTAGTACTGTATGTATCATTTTTTCTCAGTGCTAAATTGCATATCATCTTTCAGGCTTTGGCATGTCTCGTTCAGATAGCATCTGTTCGAAGATCTCTCTTTGATAATTCCCAGCGTGCCAGATTCCTCAACCAGTTGGTCACAGGGGTGAAGGTGATACTTGAAAACCCACAGGTAAATAGTTATTCATGCAGCATTTTTTACCACTTAAAACTTCTCTTTCAAATGACAATATGAATATAATAGAGTTCACTGATGTGTAGTGTAGCTTTAACACTTACCTTTGAAAGAAAAAGTCTTTCTTTTGAAATGTTGACACCATCAACTCATCATAAAAATTTGAAGATTAGACCAACCACAAACCAAGAAGATAAATTAAATGAGAAAAAACTGAATGAAAACATGTACATTCAGGCAGTGAACATATAAAATGTCTCTTAAACTCAATTCTTTGACAAAATGATAAAAACAGGACATTTGGTTAGGGAGTTCCACACTTGAATCAGGCAAAAGTGTGGGAATTTTGAATGGGAAATTTAGCAGCCCTGTATAAGTGCATTTGACTTGTTAACTTAACATCTGATTTTAGGGTCTATCAGAGCCAAATAATTACCATGAATTCTGCCGACTCCTTGCACGTCTGAAGTCAAACTATCAGCTGGGGGAACTTGTGAAGGTGGACAACTACAGCGAAGTCATCAAACACATAGCAGAGTTCACTGTCACCAGCCTACAGGTAGGTCACTATAGTTAAGTCATCAAACGCATAGTAGAGTTCACTGTCACCAGCCTACAGGTAGGTCACTATAGTTAAGTCATCGAGAAATGTTTTAGTTGTAGGCCAAATCATTGTATTTTTAATGTTCTAAATTGGGCCTTCAAAATTGAAGTGCTAGCCATTATAAAACAGTGTCATTGAAATTTTGCCTTCTGTTTCCCACTATTGTATTATACTTTTAAGGCAATGGTATTACATATCTCGTAGTGTTCAATCTAACGATTTGATATTTTTACAAGAAACCTAGACTTAAATTCTTTGTGAAAAATGTCTTAAGATCATAATTGATTTATTTTATTTTTTCAATGAGAACTTCACTAATGACAAGTGCATATTCATTTTAGATGTGGCAGTTTGCTCCAAATAGTGTCCACTACCTATTAAGTCTTTGGCAGAGAATGGTGGCATCAGTTCCTTACGTCAAGGCCTCCGAACCCCATCTACTTGAGACTTTCACTCCAGAGGTCACTAAAGCATATATTACATCACGGTTGGATTCTGTCGCCGTGGTCTTGAGGTATGCTCTCACTTAGTTAATTAGAACAGTGAATATATTTTAACATGGATTAAATTGAATTTGATTTGATATACACTGTAAACAATGAAACAAGTCCACACATTAGTCTATTAGTAGAAAGACTTGTTCAGGATAGATTGGTAGTAGTGACATGTAAATGTATTTCACACTTCAAATTGTGTTGTGCTGAAGAAATGTGTTGTGCTGAAGAAATCTTATTGAAAACTTTTTCTCCATTCAACTTAAGGATTAACAATGCGAAGGCAGACTTTGGTTCCCTTATTATCCCCATGTAATAAAAGAACACTAAGTGCAATTGGTGTTTCTTAAATGTTTCAGGGACAGTCTTGAAGATCCACTAGATGACCAAGGAATGATATCACAACAATTAGAACAGGTAGGTATACTTAACACTATACAGGCATTCTCAGTTTTATTTCTGAATTATCATAACAATTTACATGTGTTCATTCCATATTATATAAAAACATAAACAGATTAAAGATCTATTCATTTTGGTGAACTGAGTTTGGTGTTTGACATCCAGCGTTCAGAGTTCAGTGTTAGTAGCAAATGGTAGGTGGTGACATTTGGCCTTGTTAAATGCTTGCTATTTACTCTTACTAAATTAGTATTGTGTCATATAAAACATATCTACAATAACCTCCTAAAAAGTCTGTTTAACATGAATTCATATACATGTAATTTGATTGCTTACTTTCAGCTGTCTACCATAGGTCGATGTGAATATGAGAAAACCTGCGCTTTGGTTGTTCAGCTGTTTGATGAGGCAGCTCAAAGATATCAGGAACTAGTGGCCAGCTCTGCAGCCAGTGGGGTAATAGGTGTACAAGAGGGCAGACTAACCTGGTTAGTCTATATAATAGGTACGTGCCTAGTCTATAGTATACATTATATGTACAAAAATGGGGTAGTAGGTGTACAAGAGGGCAGACTAACCTGGTTAGTCTATATAATAGGTACGTGTCTAGTCTATAGTATACATTATATGTACAAAAGCCAGGCATTGAGTTTTTCACTGGGGAGTTGCCAGGTGCTATTTTCTAGCTATTCATACATCAAGTGTTGTTTTAAATTTCTTCAGCAAAAAGATTTGAGTACAATGATTGACTGTTGTTTTAGGTGCTGTGATAGGAGGCCGTGTATCATTTGCCAGTACAGATGAACATGATGCAATGGATGGGGAGTTAGTCTGCAGGTAAAACCATATGACATCCTTTTTTTCTGCTTATGAATAATATTGGCTCATGTGATGAACTGTGGGATCGATTTTTGGACAAATTATTGGACAAATTAAATTGCCCTTTGTCTCCATTTCATGGGGTACATGCTGACTTATACCATTTGTCTCAGCTGCTCCTTTTGTCTTGTCTTGACGCACTAAGTGCACCAACTAAATACACTGTAGTACCATTCTTATACATTTGTTTTTGAGTACATATCTTGTAGAGTTCAATTTAACGATTTGATATTTTTACAAGAAACCTAGACTTAAATTCTTTGTTAAAAATGTCTTAAGATCATAAGTGATTTATTTTATTTTTTCAAATGAGAACTTCACTAGTAACAAGTGCATATTCATTTTAGGGTGTTGCAATTGATGAACCTGACAGACAGTAGACTGGCCCAGGCTGGGTGTGCAAAGTTGGAACTGGCAATGCTTAGTTTCTTTGAACAATTTAGAAAAATATATGTAGGGGATCAAGTGCAAAAAACTTCAAAAGTAAGGTTTTTTTTTATTTCACAACCACATATGCTGGGGCATATTTTCAGCTTAGTCCTGGATGCAATTATGTGTCTGATTTCACCTGGCAAAGTTGTTTTATGCAAAAAGCAAATATATATGTAAGGTTACTTTTTGGTAGAATAATTCCATGTCTTTTGAATCTTGCTCAGATTGTTTAATCTTCATGGCCACATTTTTGCACAATATTCCATGTGTTAGGAAATATTTTACCTTATACGGATTATTAGGTTAAACATTTCAAGCTTCTGAGACAAGCACATCTTCAGAATGCAATTTAATTGAGATTTCAGTTTACTATTTAAAGTTACTAGCTGCTAGTTATTTCTGGTAAATTTATTGGAATAATTGTTTACACTATTCTTATGTTTGGTATTTTAGATGATTATACTTTTTGTTGTATTTTACTGTGTAGGTATATAGAAGACTATCAGAAGTATTGGGGCTAAATGACGAGGCAATGGTGCTTAGGGTATTCATAGGAAAAATGTAAGTTGAAAACTTGAATAAAATATGTAGTACATTTTGGGACCTTATCGTTTCTCAGTAAAGTCTGATTAGTAAACCAATTTGAAATAAAATAGCCTTGCACATGTACATGTTTATCTTACAGAATAACCAACTTGAAGTACTGGGGTAATAGTAAACCAATTTGATACAAAATAGCCTTGCACATGTACATGTTTATCTTACAGAATAACCAACTTGAAGTACTGGGGTAATAGTAAACCAATTTGAAACAAAATAGCCTTGCACATGTACATGTTTATCTTACAGTATAACCAACTTGAAGTACTGGGGTAATAGTAAACCAATTTGATACAAAATAGCCTTGCATGTGTACATGTTTATCTAACAGAATAACCAACTTGAAGTACTGGGGTAATAGTAAACCAATTTGATACAAAATAGCCTTGCATGTGTACATGTTTATTTAACAGAATAACCAACTTGAAGTACTAGGGTAATTGTAAACCAATTTGATACAAAATACTACATGTTTATCTTACAGAATAACCAACTTGAAGTACTGGGGTAATAGTAAACCAAAATACAATACCTTGCATGTGTACATGTTTATCCTACTGGGGTAATAGTAAACAAAAATACAATACCTTGCATGTGTACATGTTTATCTTACAGAATAACCAACTTGAAGTACTGGGGTAGAAGTGAACAGATCATCACAAAAACTTTGCAGCTCCTCAGTGACCTCAGTGTTGGCTACAGCAGTGTTAGGAAACTTGTCAAACTGGATGCTGTACAGTTCATGCTCAATAATCACACAGTAAGTGCATGTTTAACCACAAAATGAGTTCATGCTCAGCAATCACACAGTGAGTTCATATTAAACCACAAAATAAGTTCATGCTCAGCAATCACACAGTGAGTTCATATTAAACCACAAAATGAGTTCATGCTCAGCAATCACACAGTGAGTTCATATTAAACCACAAAATGACTTCATGCTCAGCAATCACACAGTGAGTTCATATTAAACCACAAAATAAGTTCATGCTCAATAATCACACAGTAAGTTCATGTTAAACCACAAAATAAGTTCATGCTCAGCAATCACACAGTAAGTTCATGTTAAACCACAAAATAAGTTCATGCTCAGCAATCACACAGTGAGTTCATATTAAACCACAAAATGAGTTCATGCTCAGCAATCACACAGTGAGTTCATATTAAACCACAAAATAAGTTCATGCTCAACAATCACACAGTGAGTTCATGTTTAACCACAAAATAAGTTCATGCTCAGCAATCACACAGTAAGTTCATGCTTTACATTCGCAAAATCAAAATAAGTTCATGCTCAACAATCACAATAAATAAGCTCTTGCTCAGCAATCACATAGTTCGAGAGTTCATGCTTAACAGTCAGAAAATCAAAATAAGTTCATGCTCAACAATCACAATAAATAAGCTCTTGCTCAGCAATCACATAGTATGAGAGTTCATGCTTAACATTCAGAAAATCAAAATAAGTTCATGCTCAACAATCACAATAAATAAGCTCTTGCTCTGCAATCACACTGTTCATTAATTCTAAAGTAAGTTCATGATCAATTGAAATGAATCGGTTGCATGAAGATTTGTTTGTATTGCAGAGTGAACACTTCCCATTCTTGGGTATTACAAACAGTACAGAGAACCAGGTGAATGACATGCGCTGTAGGACCACCTTCTATACAGCCCTGGGCAGATTGCTCATGGTGGACCTAGGGGAGGATGAAGAGAAGTTTGAACAGTTTATGATGCCCCTCACTAGTAAGTCAAATCTCGAGTTTGAACAGTTCATGATGTCCCAGTAAAGCTTCAGTTACATTTGCTCTCCTGTGGCCATAGCTTCAAAAAATCAATATAGAAAATCTACATTGTACTACGTATTCCTATATTTTATGCTGCATATTTCTCTCAATTTTGGGAAGCTACAGCCACTGTACAGTTGCCATAGATCAAATGTGACAGTTACATTTTGACACAGTGATTCCTTGTTAAGTAATAACAAACCAATTTTTTCATTATTAGCTGCATTTGATGCTGTGGGTAATTTGATAAGCAATGCCAACTCATCATTATTCAGAGCTGAGGAAGCAAAGGTAGGGAATTTTTAATGTTTAACAATTTATTTAGGCTTTAGTCCATGTTTTATGTCCTGTAAGATTCTGATTAAGGAAGTTTTAATCTCCCAACATATGCTTTTGCTTAAGATCACCAATATCAAACACTCTCTTAGTAATTTATCCTCTTTCGTTGTGATGTGAGCTACTGTTCAATTATTCACAAGTTTTTATGACTGGTATCAGAATCTCTAACAAATGGTTACACTTACTTGTTACTTTTTATTGCAGCTAGGTGGTGACATTTTCTTATGTTATTGAATTTTTCCTTATGATTAAGAGAGTGGTTTTGGTCAGTGTTTGGAAGCAATCTGACCTTATTTGAACAAAAACTGAATATATTTTGATTGTGACTTTAAACAGTTGAAGACCGATGTGTTGAAGACATGATGTTTTGCACCTACAGAGCTGCTATTGTGGTTGCAAATAAGTGTTAATTATCCCATCGAACGAAGTTCGGAGGGATATAGGGAACGCCTCCGTCCGTCCGTCCGTCCATCCGTCCATCCGTACGTACGTCTACGTACGTCCGTCCGTCTGTCCGTCCGTCCGTCCGGGCAATAACTCAAATACGGTTGGCCAGATTTTGTTCATATTTTGTACACATATACCCTATGGGGTTAGAAGTTCTGCTCGAAAGCCGATTTTCAAAATGGCTGCTCATTTCAAAATGGCGGCCATTTTAGTGACGATTTTACAGTAATTTAGGTGCAATATGTAAACTGTAATAGCAATATGTTTTAAATGTAAAAAAATTATAAAGGACGTTAATAATGCTACAAATGTAGATATTAAAGAAGCACATGGCAGCCATCTTGAAAAATGGCGGCCTTTACTCGTCATTTTACGATTTTTGCTGTAACTCAAAAAGTAGTGGAGCGATTTTGTTCATATTTGGTATGTGGATACTATAAGCATTGCACACTGTCTAAAGACACTTTTGGTAGAAGGTGGCCATTTTTCAAAATGGCCGCCATTTTAACGTATTTTACTATAACTCGAAAAGTAGTGGAGCGATTTTGTTCATATTTGGTATGTGAATACTATAAGCATGGCACACTGTCCTATGACACTTTTGGTAGAAGGCGGCCATTTTGAAAACAATTTTGAAAAATGGCCGCCATTTTAACGTATTTTACTATAACCTGAAAAGTAGTGGAGCGATTTTGTTCATAATTGATATGTGAATACTTTAAGCATGGCACATTGTCTAATAAAACTTTAGGGAGTAGTCGGCCATTTTGAAAAATGGCCACCATTTTTATGTGTGTTATTTTACAAGCATGTGTGCGATTTTTCAAAAATTTTAGAGGTGGCTACTTAAAAGCATATTATTTCTTCTGATGACAACTTGGCTAGTGAGCTACCATTTTGAAAATGGTGGCCTTTCTGGTGTGTTGTTTTATGATATTTGCGCTTCGTTTGTAAAAATGCCAGCCATTTCTGTTCGATGGGATTCGCTACGCTTTGGCGTTGCCGTTGTTCTGGTTAAAATATTTATAAATCGTAATAGTGAAGCCCTCCTTCCAATAGCTTGTCCAGAAAATATTTCTGTTGCACAAACTTTTCTGAATGATTAAAATGAATGTAAAAAGGTGCCATGGTTGAGTGACTTTTTCACTTCAGCTCTTAGCACAGGATCCTACGTTTTAAATTAATTTATAATTGAAATATCTTTCAGCGATCTCTTATTGGTCTTGCACGTGATCTGAGGGGAGTTGCATTTGCCTTCAACACAAAGACCAGTTACATGATGTTATTTGACTGGGTCTACCCAGCATACACACCAGTCCTGCTCCGAGCAGTGGAGGTGTGGTACCATGAGCCTTCAGTCACCACTCCAATACTAAAGTTGATGGCTGAACTTGCACAGAACAGGTGGGTCAATTGCTTCATATGTCTTAAACCATATCTTGAGATTTATAAACACAAGACACAAGAACATAAGAACATACATATTATTCCTTTTTTGAAAATGAATCCTTGTCTCTAAATCACCCATTCATACATACATATGTATAGTATACCTGCATCATCTCTGGTGCACTCTTTTACTATATGTAGAAAAATATTCAAATAATCAGTTGTAGTTCCACTATATAACAGTTCATTTTCTCTTTATATGTTTTAGGTCCCAGCGGTTACAGTTTGATGTTTCTTCCCCAAATGGCATCCTACTCTTCAGAGAAATCAGCAAAATAATTGTCAGTTATGGTAAACTCATTTTTCTCCCCTATTAGTAATCTGTTTTAGTTATAAACTAAAAGTGTGTTAAAATCAGAATAGAGTGATTGAAATTTCACATCAGCCTTTAGTGCAGAATTTCGTTCTTTGTTAACAGTTGATATTGTATATTATGTATACCACTGTTTCACATATCGAAAACTCAGTCTATAGCTACACTTAAAAAGGTTCATCTTAATGTTAAATGGTGGCATTTTGTGTCACCCTGTAGTTTGTATTTAATTTGGAGTTAGGATCTTGCATAATGTGAACTTTGTATGACTTTTGTGGCACATTCAATCTTCTGAACTAGTTCTACTTTAAATCATGTCATATTTTTAGCTTGTTATTACTTTGTGGGTGAATCATATTTTACATCGTATATTTTTGTAAATTGCATACTCAGGTGATACTACCTTTTCAATTAGATTGTGAACCCTCTCTGTTGAGATGTTATGAATATTGCTTGATTTTGTTTCAGGTACCCGCCTGCTGACACTAGGGGAACAAATACCAAAAGATCAAATATATGCAATGAAGTATCCTTTAGAAAATATGAAATCTGCTTCACACAGTTATTTTAAACATTTTAGATTAAATGAAAATTAAAGGTGGTGTGTTTTTGGGAAGGGAAGAGGCTTAAATCAATTTGTTAAGTTTCTGAAAAGATATTGGATTAATTGAAGGAGTTTTCTATCATACAAATGAAAAAAAACTCATTTGGCATTCATGGCTCAAATATGGTAATCACTAGATTTGTTTATTTCTATACAGATAATTGATTCCACTCTGTTGAAATTCAACTCATGTGAGACAGTGATAATAATACACATTTACCTTAACTCTACCAGATTAAAAGGTGTCTCTATATGCTTTTCCATGCTGAAGGCAGCTTTATGTGGGAATTATGTCAACTTTGGTGTCTTCAGACTCTATGGGGATGATGCCCTCAGTAATGCACTTCAAACATTTGTGAAACTACTGCTCTCTATACCACACAGTGATCTATTGGTAAGTTATACAGTTTATTTGTCATCACAAAAGTGAAAGTGGTGACATATTGTTACAGTCTCCAACTTTTTTGTGGACAGTGTTCGGTATGTGGCGGTTGGTAGTTTGTGTCTGGCAGATGGCAGGTGTGACAATTTGCATATTAATGCCTTGTAAAATGTTGATTTACAATACTTCATACCATTCTGATACTCATCACCTTCTGTGTTTAACTAGAAACATGGCTGAGAAGAAATGCAATTTCATGGTCTCACACCATGGCTTTATTTACTTGCTTTGTTGACTTTTCAGTAGGAAAACTTGTAGAGGTACTTTGATTTTGCATGCCAAAAATATGATCAATTGAATGGGCTATATATTTTATCAGAACCCTTTACCATCTTTATACCTATTATGTTAATTTCACTTGACAATTGATCCCTTAGTACCCATATTGCAAATTATTACCATCTACCCCAATGTGTTTTAGGATTATCCAAAACTAAGTCAAGCCTACTATGGTCTCCTAGAGATTTTGGCCCAGGACCACATGACATTCATTAGTAACCTGGAACCAAGAGTGTTCCTCTACATCCTTACCACAATATCTGAGGGCCTCACAGCACTAGGTACAGTTGCCTTTAATTTATTTCATGACAATATTTCATTGTTAACGTGCTTAAAGATTGGTTAACATTGTGTGACAAAGATTGGTTAAAACTGATTTTGTGACAAATATTGGTTAAGATTGCGATTGCGTGACAAATATTGGTTAGAATTGTGAGATGAAGATTGATTAAAATTGATTATGTGACAAATATTCATTAAGATTGTGTGACGAAGATTGTTTAGCATTTGTGACAAAGATTATCACTGTACAGGTTGCTGCGCTACACTAGCTAATATAATCACATAAGATTAAGATTGCGTAATAAAGATTGGTTAAAATTGTGTTAAAAAGATTACTTATGAAGTTGTCTTTTTCCTTTCAGATACCATGGTGTGTACGGGTTGTTGTGCTACACTAGACAATATAATCACATACCTGTTTAAACGATTAACCAAAAAACAGAAGAAATCTCACAGCACATCAACACAAGACAGCGAAGCATTCCTACGTATTTTAGAACTCCATCCAGATATATTGCAACAGGTACAATGTTTTTTCTTGTGCCTTTTCACAATTCTGTTGCAAAGATTTACATCATACTTTATTGTTGTTATAATGTAATACTATTTTTTTCAAAAATCATCCTTTTTAACTCAAATAGCCTTTTCAGGCACATCAATGACCTTTCCAGTATGAGCAAATGATTAAGTAACACACACAGTTATACTAGAATATGATAACCACTTTAGGTCAATGTAACTTGAATGTTTTATATTGACCATGATTCTAATGCAGTACAGTGATAGCAATCAGGGATGTGTTGAGTCAGCTGAATTGAATCACCATATAACATTTAGATAAAGTGCCATTTCTCTTGTCTTGCAGATGTTGTCCACAGTCCTGAACATCATAATGTTTGAAGATTGTCGCAACCAATGGTCAATGTCCCGCCCACTTCTAGGTCTTATTCTCCTGAACGAAGATGTAAGTGTTGTTATTGAAAAAATCAGATATTCTCCCCGATCTCGTGAAACAAAGACAAAAACTTGGTATCTGTTTTATATTACATACCTACCAATGCCATTGAACTGTAGTCATTTGTACATGAGCTATACAGGCCCATATATCCTGCTTCCATTTATTAGCATGACAACGTTATGACTTAAGGTTTCATTTCTAGCTAATTCTTATCACACTCACATAGTCTATGTAATATCATTAATACTAAGTAGTTTTGGGAATTAAGGGATGATTTGCATCAGTCGTATAATTGTGATGTGAAATATGTAGAGATCAGGGTTGGCTTTTATTGGCAGAACTAGGCATACATAACTTCTATGTGTTTGACAACTTTTTGATTTGATTTTAATGTTCAACGCTAGTGTCATTATTTTTTTGCTTTATGCTTGGTATTACTCTCACATATTATGTTATATTCAAAATTACTCCATTCCTGCTTCCTACTACACTCACATACCATGTCATTGTGTTCTCCAGTACTTCAACAAGCTCCGTGAAAGCATCATTAGCAGCCAGCCTGCTGACAAACAGACTGCCATGGCCCAGTGTTTTGAGAGTCTCATGGAAGGAATAGAGAGATCTCTCCTTGTCAAGAATAGAGACCGGTATGTTGCTTTGTGTCTGATTACCTTTCATAACAGTGATCTCCCCAGCATTAAAGCAAGACGGTGCAGCAACCATCTGAGATTTTGAAAGGAAGCTTGCACCCACTTGAAAATCCATTTGCACCCACTTGAAAATCATGAAAATGGGCATATTTTGGCTAATTTTGGTCTGAATTGTGAAAATGAAATTTTGCACCTGATTGAGGAAAAAGTCTTCGGAGATCACTGCATAATGTTTAGATTGTCTTGCTGTATTCCTGTTAGTAAAACCTGTGCACGTGGAACACCTGTGTCCATTCATGTGTTCCACTTGGTGTATTTTACATACAGTATGGGCAACAAGAATTTGAGTAGTATTCCAGAACTGGAGGTGTCTCAAATAAAGCGGTCTTCTATTGTAGTCTTTAATGTACTAGATCTATAGAATATACTTACTAGCTACCATATCCACTGTCATATGATTCTGTCGTGCATGTGAATGAGTGAAATATAAATATTTGGAGGATCTCTCATCTGCGTAATTCTTGTTTTTCAGGTTTACACAGAATCTTTCAGTGTTCCGTAGAGACGTTAGTGACTCATTGAAATCATTGAGTAACTCTAGTAATAATCCGAATGCAGATATGATGAGCTAACAGCGATTCGGGGGGAAAGGGTCAAAAGTCAATCTCAGGTCATTGACCAAGGTCAAGGTCAACAGAGCCTGCTCAACCTATATCAGCACTGTGCTGTTAACCCAGTGCCAAGATTGAGCTATATGAACACTGTGCTGTTAAACTGGTGCTGAGATATTAGCTGTAACAGCACTTCTCTGGAATTCTGTGCTCCTCTGCATCCATTGAAATACTGCATGTTGCAATTAGGAATGCAATCACCAACGTTGCTGGAAATGGAAATTAAATACACAATACCTTTGAGTTCAACAGTTAGTTGCTAGCAGAATTGAACAATAAAATGACAAATTCTTATTTGGCTTGTGCAGTTTTCAGAATATGAACCAATGTATAAGAAAGTATTTTAGGCTGCTATTCTTCCGGAGTTTATAGCTTAAACCAATTTCAGAATATATGGAGCTTGTATTCATAACTTCCATCGGAGATTGTGGCTTAGCGCATATTAGATTTTACGGAGCTTTTATTCGCAAATTCCGTTGGAGATTGTGACTTATTGTACTTCTACTTAATTTGGCGCTACTTATTTTGGCGGATTTGCTGTTTTGAACATGTGCCAGCTACTTAATTTGGCGGACTTGCAATATTGGAATGTTTGGCAAACTTCAAAGGATGCACTTATGAGCCCAATTTTATCCTTGTTGCTATCTGTTGACTTTCATTTGACAAGTAAACTGTCAAGTAGTTGAGAATGGACATATTTTTATAGTTTAACAGAAGTGAAAATATTCACCAGAAAATGGGGTAGATTTCGTGTAGTATGAATCCCCGTGAATTTAGGAATTTGGCAGCAACTTAATTTGGCTGACTTTAACAATTTGGTGGATCCGCCAAATTAAAATAGAAGTACAGTAACTCTACTCAGAATACATATATATTATATTGTATTCACAACTTCTAGTGGAAAGTCACAAAGTTCATATTTTGGGATACTTAAAAATCTTCAAATAATTAAAAGAATAGAGAGTTCAGACAATATGTGTAAACTATTGTTTGGATATTGAGATATTAGGGTATCTGCATAAGGATTATTCATTGTAATCATGAACATCTCAGTAAAAGAAATAGTGCCATTGGCATTTAGGGAGGTACAATATTTTTATGTCACCACCAAAAGTGGTGACATATTGTTATGGTCTCCGTTTTTTTCCGACGGCGGTTGGTGGTTGGCGTCTGGCGTCCGGCGTCCGGCGTCTGTAACAATTTCTTACAACTTCCTATAACTTAACAAATACTGTTTAGACTGACTTCAATTTTTTTCTAAATCATCTACATGTTCTCAGAAGTTCAAATCTGACTTTAGATTTGACATTTGACCTTCAATGACCTTCTCAAGGTCAAAAAAGTCTTTTTTCAACTTGCTTCACATTGACTAATTTTTTTTTCAAAATCATCTACATGTTCTCAGAAGTTCAAATCTGACTTTAGATTTGACTTTAGATTTGACATTTGACCTTCAAATCTGACTTTAGATTTGACATTTGACCTTCAATGACCTTCTCAAGGTCAAAAAAGGTCTGTTTTCAACTTGCTTCAAATTGACTAAATTTCTTTTTCAAAATCATCTACGTGTTCTCAGAAATTCAAATCTGACTTAAGATTTGACATTTGACCTTCAATGACCTTCTCAAGGTCAAAAAAGGTCAAAAAGGTCTGTTTTCAACTTGCTTCAAATTGACTAAAAAATTTTTTCAAAATCATCTACGTGTTCTCAGAAATTCAAATCTGACTTTAGATTTGACTTAAGATTTGACATTTGACCTTCAATGACCTTCTCAAAGTCAAAAAAGGTCAAAAAGGTCTTTTTTCAACTTGCTTCAAATTGACTAAATTTTTTTTTCAAAATCAGCTACGTGTTCTCAGAAATTCAAATCTGACTTTAGATTTGACATTTGACCTTCAATGACCTTCTCAATGTCAAAAAAGGTCAAAAAGGTATTTTTTCATCTTGCTTCAAATTGACTAAAATTTTTTTCAAAATCATCTACATGTTCTCAGAAATTCAAATATGACTTTAGATTTGACTTTAGATTTGACATTTGACCTTCAATGACCTTCTCAAGGTCAAAAAAGGTCTTTTTTCAACTTGCTTCAAATTGACTAATTTTTTTTTTCAAAATCATCTACATGTTCTCAGAAATTCAAATCTGACTTTAGATTTGACATTTGACCTTTAATGACCTTCTCAAGGTCAAAAAAGGTCAAAAAGGTCTGTTTTCAACTTGCTTCAAATTGACCAAATTTTTTTTTCAAAATCATTTACATCTTTTCAGAAGTTCAAATTTGACTTTACAAGTTCTCAGAAGTTCAAATCTGACTTTAGATTTGACCTTTGACCTTCAATGACCTTCTCAAGGTCAAAAAGGTCTTTTTTCAACTTGCTTCAAATTGACTAATTTTTTTTCAAAATCATCTACATGTTCTCAGAAGTTCAAATCTGACTTTAGATTTGACATTTGACCTTCAATGACCTTTTCAAGGTCAAAAAGGTCTTTTTTCAACTTGCTTCAAATTTACTTAATTTTTTTTTCAAAATCATCTACATGTTCTCAGAAGTTCAAATCTGACTTTACATTTGACATTTGACCTTCAATGACCTTCTCAATGTCAAAAAAAGTCAAAGAGGTATTTTTTCAACTTGCTTTAAATTGACCAAATTGTTTTAGGTGGTGACATTTTGTCATGTTAATGCCTTGTTTCAATTAAAGTGGCATCCATTTTGAAATTTGTAAGAGTTCTAATGTTCAGTTAATATTACCAACATGTAACTATCATGAATACAATTTAAGGAGACAAAGCAAATCCATAAGAGATTTTTGAAAAATAAGTGATAATTGGAAGTTTTCAAAGAATTTTTCTGAAGCCTTGTTATAGCATTGATAGCCTATGATCTTGAGCTACCTGCATGCAATGTGATTCAATACTTATTAATTTATTGCCAAAAAAGATATAGGGAATGGGAAAGGTAATGATATGCAATAAAGTTGAAAATATATATCCCACTATATTTTTCACAGGAACTATATGAGATATTTTGCCAAAGCATCACCCATGTGTGTCAAAAGTGAATTGAAATACTTCTGTACAAAGTTTCCAATTCATATAATAAAAATAACCTTAATGTCTGGTTACCTCTTAAGTACTTCGATATGTTCCAACTTATATTCAATCGCAAAACTACAGCTCCAATGGGAAGGATTCAATGCCATAGATATGTTGCAGCTTATATTCAACCACAATTCTAAAGCTCAAATGGGAAGGATTCAATGCCATAGATATGTTGCAGCTTATATTCAACCACAATTCTAAAGCTCCAATGGGAAGGATTCAATGCCATAGATATGTTGCAGCTTATATATTCTACCACCAATGGCAATTTGGAAGGATTGAATGCCATATTTATGTTGATCCAACTGTGATAGTCTCAGTGCCAGCATATAATGCCTTAACACTGGAAATATAAACTGTTTGATAAAATGTTCAGTGTAGTGTCTGTTTCTAAACATTGGAAAATGAACTGTCTGATAAAATGTCCAGCGTAGTATCTATTTCATCATTGCCAAAACCTCCAATAAGCCCTTAAATTGGGTGACGAGTGATTGTTCTACAAAATTAAATGTGCTTATTTGCCTTGTTTGTTACATTTTATACGTGCACACAATGAATAGAAGAATTGCCAAATTTTGAATTTGGATGAAAATAAATCTTTTTATACACAACCTTGTGTTTGTATTGTTTTGAAATTGAGTATCTGTTCTTGTTGCATTTTGCAAGTATAATATAGTGGATAAGGAATGGGGTTCAGAATTTATATATACAGTCAGTTTTGGATAGAGGTTTATCCCTTTCCCAATATAGAAATATCCTTCGGGATAAACAACGTATCCAAAACCTCCAAGTACTTATCCTTTATATACAGGTATGTACTAAAAGTGTTTCCAGGGTCAGATATATTGGGTCTACAAGTTGGCAATATAACAACAAAAAGGAATCTTCTTATCCATTCAGCTAACCATCCAGCTTATTTGAGGAGGGAATGTCAATGTAACAAAATGGATGAACTTCCTGGATACAAGTTTTTTTGTTTTCTTGAATTAAACCTACTTATAAGTTGGCACAAAACTGAAAATGCATTCGACTTAAATTGGTTTGTAAGTGAAGTTGCAATTCATATATTTAGTTCCTCGCTTTTGTTATATTGACAAAAACTTTATTATATTACCAATTTTATTTTGATGTGGACATCGATATAACAAAAGCGAGGGACTAAATGTGTAACTTACAGCTTCATTTGAAAATCCTTTCCAAACTGAAGGCATTTTTTGTGCCATATTATAATCTGCAACTTGACTTACAATATGTTTAAATCATGAAAACAAAAACTCATTATTTTCATCCATTTTGTTACTGCAAAAGATTGAAGTGTGAAAAGTACTAAATCTTGATGTTGGAAGTTCAAACCAAATTCAGCAAATGATAAAATATAGGGGATCAATTTTCGGTATTGGGTCATTTTAAGCCATCCCTTCCCCCTAATTTGTTCCTATGGTAATACATATTGTCAAAAATCTGTCATAACCTTCCTGTGGTCAAACTCCAAATTGATTTCAAATCTGTATCTGCTTTGTTAATAAAATGTTGCAGCCTGGGAGGAATGATTTTTCTTATCCAATGATTTCACAACTTGTAGGAAGAAACTTGTTGACTTTTGGCACAGACAGGCGTTTTAAAAATTAAGTGTTTGCGAAAAAATTATTTTATGAGACCTGTCATATCAGCTTGTAACATTTTAACCCAATCTGTCAAGCAGTATTTGAGTTATTGCCCAGATAGGCAAATAACAGACTGACAGGCAGCTTTTCTGAAATGCTGACACTTGTCTCGTATCCTCTATACTTAATTTTGTTTGGTGGGATGTCTTCCAAAATGAGTAGTCGCAGCAATTTTTGATAAACCTGTATCTGAGGAAATGGATATACAGACATAACCTATTTTCCTGCTTTAAAAAAAATGTCAGTAACAAAACAATGATATGTGAATAAGTAATAATTTTATTGCTTTAAAAGCAGAATAAATAACAGAATTTCAATAAATATTCCATCCTAGTCTGGTAACATATCATGAAAGCAATACATTTTTTGTTCTATGTCCAGAAATTCACACATACATATGTGGCAAGTTGGCTCTTTATTTACAATGTTGGCCTTAAAGTCATACAAGGCATTAACATGCAAAATGTCACCACCTGCCATTTGTTATAGACGCCAATCGCCAGACAACCATTAAACACTGTCCACCAAAAAGTTGGAGACTATAACAATATGTCACCAATTGTGGTGTTGTGACATAAAACTGATCAGAAATGACTTAGCATTAAAAACTAAAAAGCATCATAATATATTATTCCAATTTCTATACTTATTTTTGTTCATATTATTTCAATGTCTTGAATATGTACATTATTAATACTGTACTAGATGTAGATACCTTGAACTAATACTTACCCATCTTTTTCTGATTTTTTTTATTAACAAATGTTACAAGAGACTCTCAAACAACATAAGCTAGGATCTTAGCTTAAAAAAGAAATTATTTCAATGACCATTTCACGATAATATATTGGGGTTGTAGAGAAAACAATCGGTTAGCAAATTGTAATATTACTTACCATTTTTTGTCACTTGATTTTACCATTTAAACAAAATGTTACATAGTTCCTTTAAATTGTTTGCATCCCATCATTATGAATTGATCCTTTGTTTGCTTTATATTTCTTCAACGCAAACTGATTTTTGTAGAAATTATCGGCAATAATAAAAACATACAATTTTTTTAAAAAATGAGCCTTCTAATAATACATAATGTTGTGAATAATGTGTGTTGTGCATTCCAAGTATAAAGTTGTACAATAAACATCAGGATTGTCTTAAAGGCAAAATGATCTCCAAAGGGAGATGTCCTCTATATAATACTTCATGCTCCTTAAGAAGCCCTCTGATCTCTAAATTATACTTGGTGCATCTGGTTCTCATCAGCTGTTTTACCCTGCAATTTGTATATACAAAAAAATATCTGGTGACATGGACAGAATCTCAATTTTATACTACAGGGTGAACAAGAATATAGGAGCTCACATTTTAATATTTTAATGTCCAAATTTCTTGTACACCCTATAGTTTTTGTGTTTATATAATAGGTAAAAATAGTCTGAAACAAATAAAGTATTTGAATACATGTCTCTATATTATGATTATACTCTATCTATGCTGTCAGATATCCATTAATAACCTCATAAATGCACCCGACTTTCAATAGCTCGATTGTTCTAAGCTTTGAGATTCCCAATAATGGACTGAATGTCCTATAGTAATAGCAAATTCATTTTCTACTTTCATGCAATTACACATGTATTATTTATGGCTCATTCCCTGTTAACGATAAGCAGTAAATTATGGATGTACATTCATAAATGTGGGCATAAGAAATGCCAATATATCAATATTTTGCTTTGACCATTTTATAAACTATTTTAGTTTTAATTTTCATAATTAGGAGTGACATTCTTGGCATTTCAAAATAACACGTAATACATAAACAGACCATCTGAGACTGAGGATATGTTCTGTAGACACTACACAAGAGATATTCATACATAACACGTCACGATAGCGTACCATTTTCTCACATTAAATTCACAACAATCATTTACATAATTCCCTGAAGTATTTTAGTCACTCATATAACAATACTATATCATGTAAAATAAACAACGAAAATTGAATTCAAACTGTTCAGTATTCATAATCTCTAACTGTTTCTATTTCTATGACTGACAAAACCTGTGTAATATGAAACTTTTCGAGTCAATTAATATAAGATATGTAATCTTGTCAGACTTTCATTTGCAATTCATATATGTTCAATGTCTTTCTATTTTGGAAAGCAAATGAAATAGCAATACACAGAGTGTCCGTAAATCCTATACACTTTACACATTGTAATTGTAAAGAGACTTTATGGACACCCTGTATATTGTTGGACAGGTTTTCATATACAGGGTGTCCATAAATTCTATTTACACTTTGCAGATTTTGTATTGTAATTGTAAAGAGACTTTATGGACACCCTGTATATTGATGGACAGGTTTTCATATACACAGGTTTCTAAAGATTCTGATATATGCTAGAAGGCTAGGCCGCCATCATCGGAGTCATCGTCAGGCTCAGGATCAGAGTGATGCTCTGTATAGAGTTTAACCAGACGTTCCGCCTCCTGCTGTCCCGTCAGCAATGCACCATGGGTACTAGAGTAGAACGACGGGTGGCAGGCTTCTCCGGCAAACAGCACGGCTGGCTGCAAAGAACATGGACAACAAAACTTGAGTTTTTATTGACTATGAGATATTGGGAACAAATTTAATATATACGAGCACAGTGTATCAGTGTGTATAAACCTTGACCTTGACAAGATGACTTTGAAATGAGATAATACATCCGTAACATGTTATATTTAGTTTTTGAGGTGAGACTGAACCTACCTTATCTGCATTTGGAGGTGTGAGTGGCTCTGCTAGTGTCTCAATGTCCTGTACCTTGCCGCCCACAGGGATGAATGTGTAGGAACCCTTGGTGTGTTCATTGCTGTGCCATTTAGTTCTGAAACACATATGTTACACAAACATTAATTGTTATTAATGAGCTTCAGGCACCAATACAAGTATTATACAAATATTTTTTCGTTTATTGAGGGAAATATCTGTGCACCAGTAATATGTAATATTCCAACATTTAACTGGAGGCCAAAGGGACCTTTGAAAGTAACAAATATTCAAGACTGTACTGCAATTAGAAAATTTGGACGACTAGACAACCATCCAAAAACACATTTTATACTGTCAGCCAACAAAGTGCTATAACTGCACACAGCACCGCAATATACATTATTATGATTTGATCTCAGGAGCATTAGTGCAACTGGGCACTGTACCATTGAAAATCTGTAAAATTCATGATACCTTGATGAAAATCTGGTGCTATTTTAGAGGATTTAGGACATACTAAAAAAATCTTCTGGATATCACTGCATATATTTGCACGTCATGTTTACTTAATTTCAAGGTCAAGCGGTAATTTATCATTCCTTAAACTGATATAGCCCATAAGGTTACCTAACAGAATGCAAGTTACTTATGGAAGAAAAGCAGAATAAAAATACATACTGTATGTACAAAAGCATTTACAGGATGGTTAGGTATGTGTACTATTAGGTATACACAAGGTCAGATATATTGTATTTCAACAAAAATGTAATACAGTAAAACCTGTCTAATCCGAACATAACTCAGATTGGCCAAAATTCTTCAGTTTGGAGGGTGTTCTCAAATCAAGGTTCCTTAATATGTGCGTCAATGGGAGATAACAAATTGAGGTAGAGGAAGAGTGTTCTAATGGGGTGTTATTCATTATACATTATATCATATAAAGAGGTGTTACAGATAAACAAGTCTCACTGTACGTGCCTCTAAATAAAACAAGAAGGTATTTTCAGAAAAATAGGCTAAAGGCCTACACTAAAGCAGTATATTTGTAATAAATCTATTCATTTATACTTCTATTGTTTTTATGTTTCATTTATATTTACTGGAAACTAGCACGTTACAGAGAATCATCCTTCACAAAAAACATTCATCAAATCCAACTACTTGATCTTAGTACTTGAAATCATTGATTTTACATTTGTGATACGAGATTTGGCCACTAAGAGGGCGATAACCTCCCATCGATCATACCGAGACGAATCTTCATGTAAAGATGAAATTCTGTTTCATTTGATATGAAAGTGGTGCAAAGATAGTAGAAGAGGTTATTTATTTTAGGGTCAATCTTTACCAAAAAGAATTTGACATCAAGTTCAATGGCATGAACAGGAAGCAACATGAATTAAGGCAAACCCAAGTAATTATAAATCACTCTGCTTAAACTAGAGATAATTATATTTTCCGATCCAATTACAGCGCTTCCCAGCTCCTACTTAGGATTAATGTATAATCAGGGATGAAGAGAAATAAATCAAGATTCTGAGTGTTGATGAAGAAAAATTGTGTCTACTTGTATTTAAACAAGTGCAGGCTCTTGAAGAGTCAGCGGGTTTCATTAATATATCTTACAACATGCAATATGAAGAGGAAAAAATAATTGATGATAATAAATTGTAGGGTTATACTATATTTGCTATGCTCACACTTTTAGCTATTACCATGTGTATTTTCACCTTACATGATGTACATTTTATTACATATTCTGTAAGTCATAAAAGTAATGAGCTAGCGGAGACCACTAACTATAATGGTGTTCTATGACAATGACCTGTTCATAGTAATTATTATATATAGCAATGCTAAGGTGTGGCAAATCTCTCTGATCTGAAGTAAGTCCCAGAAACTTCATTCCTAAAAAATGACCATCATATTAAATGTATTTAATTGTCAATAATATGCCATGTTTGCATGTATTTATAGATAAAATATTAATGAAATCAATCTACACTGTATAGCCTTTTGAGTTATAAAATACAAAGTATTAACATGCAAAATGTCATTAACTGCCATTTATTACAGGCACCAAATACTGAACACCAAATGCCGAACACGAACCACTGAACACCAAATGTCGAACACCAACTAGTGAATGGCGAAAATCATTCACAAGAAAAGTTAGATACTATAACAATTACTTCTATATCTATTTTTCAAAAAATCAAATTTTCTGTGAAGTCAATAATATAACCAAGTTGACACAAATATGGAATACAGATGAGTTATTGCCAAGATGACTGGATAGAGGCATTCTTATTCATTTGATGGGAAAATAAAAATGACATTGAGATCATCATTCACCACACATGTGTTTGGAGGGGCTAACTATTTATACAAATCATTCTGCTAATTGATACTTTTGAATGACAAAATCTTTGTATTTCTGCTCATATTCCTGAAAACTCAGTCCCAATCTTCAAGCATTATTTAAATATTACTATTAACAAGAAGAATCACCGGTAAAGCAAGAGACTTGTGAGGGATGTCTGTAAGACTACAATAAGTAATTGAGAATACAGACATTTAACAGACATACCAACACGAAGGAGAAAATACCCCGACCTGCCCGATTGCCCTGGTTGCATCTGACCTTATGAGTCTTCAGTGTAGCCTCAGTGAGGTCAGTAGAAAGCTGTGGCCTGGCCTGCTCATGAACCCTTCTCCACTGTGAAAGTCACCTTGTAAGGCCACCACTCTCATAAATACACCAATCAATAAAAATACTGTATAACATGCACAACACCTATATATTGATTTTTAACCTTGTTCAAACTCATCAACTTAATATAAGTTTAATCTAATAACCCATCGATATGCCATATATTTCAGTATCAAGTTTTATTTATAGTATAAAATTATACATTATTTGTATGAAAAAAATAATCAACAAAATTAAGATGCTAGTGAAAATGACATGGTCTACAGTGATACACTCTTTTACACAGAAACTGCCCGGTGATTGAACTCTACTAACATGCAGCTGGGAAGATATTAGAAACATGTTATCCTATAACTCTACATGTCATTGGTTTTTAATTAAAAGTTATGGAGAAGTATCATGTCAATGATTCTGATAGGAAGAAACTGTAATTACCAAATGAGGATGAAAACAAAATGGATTGATGTTTGATACCTTTCTAAATCTCTATCCTATTTGTCTTTTTACGATCATTTATCAGAACTATAAAAAAGTGATTACCCACAAAGTGGAGTTTGAACATAGAAAATAGGAAAGGTTGTATCTATGTTTGTCAAATGAGGGAAACTGAGGTTCTAAATCAAGAAAAGAAATTGCAAAGAAATCGGAACCAAGTACATGTACAGAGATTAATGCCATGGTCGCATTTGCTCTGATCTTCAACACTGGCACCCAACCGATGAGTATTTTGTTCTAAACCGAATGCAATTGTGAACAAAATACTCATTGGCTGGGTACCAGTTCTGAAAATCTGAGCAAATATGACCATGGAATTAGATTACAAGGGTTATGAAAAGTACATCAGGTAATATGATTGGTTACCGTGCCCCAGCTGGTAAATACTCATGAAACCAAACTCAGTGAAAAATGTTGATTGGATTCTAATTTTGTGGCAATCTGACAGCATTTATGTCTCTGAAGCAATTAATTTAAAATGGTCGAACTTGACAGCCCTTTTTCCAAATGTAACACATTTAACACATCTATTATTCTACAAAATGGCCTAATCAATATCACAGTATCGTGGGACCCCTAGATAATATACAGCTCCACACAATACTATCTTTTTAATATTTTGTTCACCAATAAGACTCCCTGAAATCTCCTTTAGGAGTATTTAGAAAAAACAATCTCATGGCAACTAAAACAACCATGGAACAATAGTTCTTCCCCAGACAATAACTTAACCTTTTGTGGTAAGCATGCTTTCAGACATCAGAAACCAATATTTGAACAGACACGCAAAGGTCATGGTTACCCTAATCCTTAAAATTCAAATATACCAATGTAAAATCTTAGCCTCTTGTGTCTGTTTATACCAGGGTACAATCTTAGTCATTGGTGTTTGTATCAGTGTATAATCTTAATCTGTGGTATCTATTTGTATAATTATATTGTATAATCTTAATCTTTGATGTCTGTATAAGTGTATAATCTTTGTCTTTGGTATCTGTTTACATCAATGTACAATATTAGTCTTTGGTATCTGTTTGCATCAGTATTCTTTGGTATCTGTTTGCATCAATAATGTACAATCGTAGTCTTTGGTATCTGTTTGCATCAATAATGTATAATCTTTGTCTTTGGTATCTGTTTACATCAATGTACAATCTTAGTCTCTGGTATCTGTTTACATCAGTATACAATCTTAGTCTTTGGTATCTGTTTGCATCAGTATACAATCTTAGTCTTTGTTATCTGTTTGCATCAATGTACAATCTTAGTCTTTGGTATCTGTTTGCATCAGTATACAATCTTAGTCTTTGTTATCTGTTTGCATCAGTGTACAATCTTAGTCTTTGGTATCCGTTTACATCAATGTACAATATTAGTCTTTGTTATCTGTTTGCATCAATTTACAATTTTAGCCATTACCAAGTGTTTGTATCATTGTACAATCTTAGTCATGGATGTCTATTTGTATCAGTGTACAACCTTGGCTATTTAGGTCTTTTAGTTTGCATGGTATTCATTTGTGAAGTACATGCTATCTTAACCTTTAACACTCATTTGTATCCATCCATATATATAATATCAGGCCTTAAAAATAAGTAAGATGAGTAGGTTTAATCAATGGGTTTACCATAAGATAACATGTAAGTAGATGCCAATCGGTGCAAAACACAAATTGAAGCTGATAGGAAGACTGTGACATTAAAGACATTCAAATTGTACCAAATTAAGTATATTCAATAAAATAGCACTTAATCTGTTGAATTGAATCATCTTTATTGAACAAATTTAACATCTCATTTCCACTCCTCAAAGGGAACATTCATAATATTCCACCAAGAGCACAGGTAGTATGACATATATATCAATCATATCTTTAGGTCAGTAATTTCATTTTAACAAATCAATGA